CGGGTTCAAGTCCTGCTACCGAATATTCTCGTCCTTTCAACCGTCGGGGCATTATGATGTAATGGTCAATCTCATTATTTGTTAATAAAAAGTAGTCCAAGAATTGGCAGTGGGCAGTGCTCACTAGTTGCCTTTAGTCAAACATTTCAAACTTTAGAACGGATAGCGCAGATAGTCCTCGAGTAGCTTTGCGCTAAGTTCAACAAACAAACGAATTTATGGTCTTAGTAGCAGCGGAATGCAATAACCATTAAAAATAATTTAATTTTATGATTACTATAGATGTCAAACCAGCTGCATTAACTAGTTCATATCTACAGCTACCCTGTGTTTTGGGGGAGAGGTAAATCTCCACTTTGTTTATACAAACAAGAAAAAGAGAACTAAAGAACAATTGTCCACTTTTCTTATAGACAGCTCATTTCTCTTAACCTAAAAAAAGATATGAAACTGCTACTTGTAATATGAGGTAAAAGAGTGTCTAGATATGTTCAGAAATCTGTGAAAAGGGGCGTTCCAACATCAGAAAAAGCTGTGGCAACACCCTAGATTTGTCCAAAAGTCTGTTCTTGTGTATATAGTAAATGAAGTGTCACTTCAGTCTTTTTTTTTTCCTACGTAGAGAACAGTCCGTGTATACTTCTACATAGATGCAGTGCATTACACCAATACGCTATTCCCCCACTTCATATTTTTCACCTACCCTTTGGCCTTTAGGTTACCACTTCTAACCTAATGGTTTTGGAGTGCCATTCATCATTAAATGTGTCAAAAAATATTAACTAAAATTTGTATACGCGCTACAGTTGTCAAATGAACAACATTCTACAGCTCAAATTATTATCCACCATTAAAACTATATTTCGTGACGAATCTCCTTTGTGTATGTTTATTTACATGTTTTGCTTCTGCAACAAGGAGAAAACTAAGAAAAACGACAACAACTAGAAGAGCAATAATTTTTTGACTGCTTAGTTTGCTTAATCTAAATCAGGCATGATGCTGCTGTGTTAATGAGTTGTAAATGTTAGCTATGGAATGTAAATGTGAACATTGTTAAAATTACTTTTGCAAATAAAATTCGTCTATCAAACGCCATAAGAAATGTGTTCCAGAAGAAATTTTACCAGTTTAAGTGTAATAACAAACAATATTAGATGAATTAACGGACGAATATACTAACCTTTAAAGATGTTCAAACAGATGAAATGCCTGCTAGGTTTTGCTAAAGCTGTGTTTATATATATGTCTTTGTCTATTACGACCAGAAGTTCAATGGCAATTTGACAGAATATGACAAATATTGTCCACAACACATTAAGCTAAGTGTCTGCTCATAATGATTTTGAAAAAAGAGTATATTTGATTGTTATTATAATTAGAGCTTGGATGCATGCTTGCTTTATTCAAGTGAAACAAACGTCCTTTATCGTTAGTCGATATGGTTGTGACAGTTATTACGGTGGATACACGAATGCACAAAGAATCCCAGTTTGAACCCACCATCATATAATCTGAATTTTAATGCAATTTATGTATAATATATGAAACTAGATGTACTTATTGTAAAAAATATAATAACAAAGAAGTCGGAAAACTAGATTATCATGTAATAAATTATATACATCTTAGTGGATTGTTTCTTCTTCTTCACACAATATAGTATCTATTTTATACTGGAATGTCTTTGGTTAAAACTTATGTACACATATATAAATATCATGAAAGTTTCATTACAATGCCAGAAAAATGTAACAGAGAACCAATAACGTTTCAAAAATCCGACGTAAGAGGCCAATTAGAGTTGTCTTAAAGTGGTTTCACTCTGACCGCTTTACTCGACTTTCTTATAATTTCGTGTTCTCTTGAGATGACGCAGTTTTTTAAAAAAAACAAAAACTTTTAAACAATTAACGTGACATCCCTAAGTTCCATTTAAAAAATATGAAAGTATATTAACTGGAAGAGCGAAAATTTATACCATAAGAATAAAGTAATCTAACATTTGAACGTAGAAAAATGTTAAAAGCATCACTTCAGCCACTTAAGAAAAACTAATCCATTGAGTTTTTTTTATTCCTCTTATTTGTCTGTTGTACAGAAATATATTTTTTCACGTGGTTCAACTATAAATAATGATTTATCAAAGACTTCAGACTTATCAAAATTACCTAAAATTATTACATATAAACATATATATATATATATATATAACATTCATTCTACTAAACCTAAAATAACTACCAAGATAGATAGATAACATTCATCATTTAATGAAGTAAAACATTTTTACCAATGTAATGATTATTCAGGTGTTAATCACACAATGGATTTATGTTTAACTTGTTCGCTGTTTTTTCTTTAAATTACTATTTATTTTGTTTGATTTATACAATCTTATTTTTTATTACATTAAAGTAAAAGATGATTGTGTTAATTACGAAAAATAAATGTAAATTTATTGGGAAAGATGAATTGACATTGTTGAAAAGAAATTTTACCTTATCAACCCGTTATAAAATCAGAGTATGCCTTACATGTATCTAAATGAAACACTTTTTAAGTTTTCAAGTCCTAAAAAATAGCATGTCTGATTCTACAGAGGAAAAAGCAATATTATAAAAAATCTACTGTTTTTACAGAAGAGTTGATTGTGTTCCCTTAAATAAAAAGTTCTTTAAAATAAACTGAAAAATATAAATTATTATTGGAGAAACGTAATGTAATAACACTCAAATGATATTTTACAATTTCGTCACTTAATGTCCCCGATTGGGTCAGTGGTAAGTTAAAGTACTTGTAATGCTAAAATTTTGGGTTTGGTACCTCGTAATAACTATGCTGTAGCAAACCAAATCTTTGCTTAGTTTAGAAACTAAATTCTATATAATATTCTTAAATTAAATTAATAAAGTCTATGGAAATCAACTTGCAGAAATATTAAGAGCAAATGTAAAGTTGATTTTTAAAAGTCGAAATGACAAAACAATTAATTAGGGTAGCGGATTTGGAAAACTCCAAAATAAAACAGGAACTTTTTAAATTTCATTCTTAACTAGCTCATAAGTAGTGGCATTTCTGTTACATTCATTTTATAATATATCGCTGGTAACAAAAGTCAACTACAGTAACCGAATATTTAGGAAGAATAGCATTAATATTACTTGTTTTTGAAACACTGTAGAGTAACTTGTTCAAAATCACGTTTTCTTACTTTATATTTATCGGCGTTACTGCCCTAAATGTGGTCGTACTTAGCAGCAACATTAATGCAGTATACCATCGAAAATCTTGATTTATTTGAAAACTTGCTATAATATTAATATTTATTTCTGATCAGAACAGGCTATGCACTTAAAGCTAAATCAAAAATCAACTAGACAATTAGTTTAGTTAATTAAATATACTTTTCTTACTTTCCACCTTCAAAGATTAGAATGCATTTTTTCATTAGTTTGTTACCCTCGCTGTTAGCGATATTTTCGGCCTCTTGGACTTAATAAACATAAAAAAAATGTTTTGTAAAAGTTAGCTTTTAATTAATTCTGATAATTATTTTTGGAAATAATACGTCTTGATAAAGGAAACATGTAGTTTTGAAAATCTGTTACGATACATAATATGTTTGTGAGATGTTAACACAATATTTTGTTGATAACAGAAAGTATATCATTCTTTAATATGGTTTTACAGTATTCGACAAAGCTCTCTTACTTATACTATTTGATTTATTTATGTGAAGCTAAAACTTAAAATCACTTTTTCATAATTAACTTTGATTTTTTTAAGTTATCTCATTTCTCTGGAGAAAGTATTATTACAAACTATTTGTATATTGGTTGTCGATATAACATCATGGATGAATATTTTAATTTTTTTCGAAGACTTCGTAGCCAGTTGCACCTGTTCTTTCATGATAATATGCACAATAAGTGTATCCATTGCCATATTTTAGTAAGAACTTACATTTGATGGTTTAACAGGCGGTGCCTCCACTGAAATTATCTTATTTCGGATGAAGATTGTTATAAAAATTTCGATTCCAATAACTTTTTAAATTTGGGGTTCAGTACTTCGTAATTTATTTTCTGAAACTAAATTTCAATTGTGAATGTGAAGGTTTTTAACATAATATCTTTGACAACTTTTCCTATGTTAGTTTGTCCGAACATTGCAGCAGAGATGTTTTGTCTAAATCACATTTTTAATTCCTTACACTATGTTCATCAATTTTAAACAAGAATGTGGACGTAGTTATAAACAAATATAACATACACGCATATATATGACATAAATACACACACACATACATATATATATATATATACAAATAAATAAATATGTTCAAAAATGCTATTTTTTTACTAAAAACACTGCATTTTAGGTTATACTCAGTAGTTTATAGAAATATATATATATTGTTAACTATGAAAAATTTTCTTATCGTAACCCGAGTTTGAATTACTAAATTTAAATATTTTCTTAAAAACGTCATGTTATGCATTAAAATTATTCTGTTAAACAAACTTACTCTATGCATGACTCTAACCCAATGCCTCATTATTAGTTTTTGCTTATGCAGGAAATATTCAGATCCTTTTGAATTTCCAATATATTTTAAACAGGCGCTCCAATACTATAATTACAGTTCTTATGGTTCTTTCTGCTTAGAGTAACTATATGTAATATGAGAAAAAAGTACGTATCTCATACGAATTCAAACACAAGAAACTTATTAGAAAATTGTACTGTAGAAGGATAGGCTTATCGCAAATGTTTGTCATAAGTGAAGTGTTCGATCATTATGGTTTCAGTATTTTGTTGTTAGTTTGATTGAAAAAAATAATAATAAAATAATAGAAAATAAAATAACCTGCGCTATTTGGAAATTAGTAGTATCAGATGTCAGTCCTAAACTCGTTAAAAATTGTTCCACTAAACTCGTGAAAAATTATATTTAAAATGTCCAAACAAATCTAAAAAAAGAAAAAGTTACGAACCAGAGTGAATATTCCGCTTGCAAAACATCCTCTTCTGATAGACTTGAAACAACAACAGGAAGTCAGTATAGCCATTTTCTATGAGTTGTGCGAATCTACTGAAAGATGCAATGTGATCCGATATAAGATGCTGATGTCTTTGAACTCTTCAGTGACCATGTTTAATTAGGCCTAGATGCATTCTTCATGGCATCCACGTGCTCTGTGATCGTCTGGCAACGTTTACTCAGGTTTTATAATCAAGCCTACAGAAGAAGAAGCGCTCTTGCACCGAGTCGCTTACCCTCGCAACCAGGATACGATTAAACATCCCGTTTGTCGATCGATCTAGGATTCGCGCTTACGTCTTCTGCAAGGAAAACACTTGTGTTGCGAAGGAAGTTTCTAAGCCGTAATTAGTACCACGACATTTATCTCTACGATAACGACTATTTGAAAGTGTTTGAACAACCCACCTAAAGAAAATACAGGAACAAATACAGGATGAATGCTTTAATCCACTTGAAAAATCGTAGCATGAATTATATATTACCATATTGAAAGGGAAATTTAGGTTTTATAACTTTATAAAATAATTATATTGATGTTGCCAATGGGATATGACATACAAAAAAAGGGTTTTTAAATCTAATTTTACTTACATTATAGAGTCACTGTACCTCAGTAATTACCTGCCCTACTCAAAACCAAGCTCCAGGCGATTCAGCGGTAAATCTGGGGATTATAATGCTAAAAATCAGGTTTTATGCCCACCGTGGGTATAGCACAGATAGTCCATTATATACCATTGCACTTAACAACAAAACAAATAAACTTAGAACTAAGCAATAGCTGAAACTTCTGAAAAACTTCCCTCGTCAAATATCTTTTGTAATAATATTCAGTTTTCGTATGTCCTGAAAATGCGCATGTGTTTCGACGGAAGTAAACAAAAGGTGTATGTAAATATAATTTAGTAGAAATTTTGAATGATATATTAAAAGCTTATCAAATATTTTAAAATGTCTACCGTTAGGTCATAGAATAACATTAAAAGCTTTTTTATTGATAGTATTAAGTGCGGTAAACATTACCAAAACATATATAATGACAAAATACAACATCAAATTATTATAAATAGCGTCTGTAACCTTATATCAGTTCATATTAAACATTCAGTAACTGGTTGGCCTTCCTTGTACTCTAACAACCTCTGCAAGGCGACGTGTCATGCTGTCGATGAGGTTATTGATGAAATCCACCGTGATTTCATACCAACTTGTCACTATAAGACGATGCAACTCAGCTACATTAGCTGGTTTAGGGTCGTGGTTAGCAATGTTCCAACTCAGTTCTGCTCAACAGTTCTCAATGGGATTACATCTGGAGACTTTGCTGGCCATGGCAATATTGTAACGTCCTCCTGGTTGAGTACGTGCACTGTGAGCAGTAACATTGTCATTTTTGAACAAAAAGTTATTGCCCTATTATATGACAGAAATATTGACTCCATGTGATGCCTTTAGGCGGCGCCATTGACGTTTCTCTGGAGGTTATAAAGAGCAGTTTTTCCACCATGATAAAAAGCTGCCTAAAAATGTACTGCACCACCTCCTATGTGTTCCCTGTGGGAAAAACAATCTTCCCTCGTCCGTTCTTCAGGCAAACAATGAAAAGACCACATGTCGCCAGTGTTCTAACTATAAGTTGGCATTCAAGTAACATGGTGAATTCCGGTTAATATCGGTTTGCAGATAGCCCTTCTTGTAAAATAACCTTGTTTGGTCAGTCTCCTATTCACTGTTCTTCTCGATACCCTGGGATAAATGTTTTCATACCATTCCTCTCGTAAGATGGATGTTGCAGGACTTCTTTCGACTTTGACGTGATCAAAACACGGTCATCTAGGGGAGTAGTTTTCGGCGTCTACCAGTAGACTTTCCTGGAACAGAGTTTCCTGTAGTGTGGATTTTCAGGATTTTGGATACAGTACACTAGGGGTACCCTACTGTTTTGGCAATGTCCGTTTGTTTCATATAATTTCTGTGTATATGTGTGTTTTAACGAACAAATGTTCAAAACAACTTATACAGACCAGAATAACTACTCGTACATACTTGTTCGATCTTACGCTACCTATTCTGTTACTACTCGGTCATTTACTCAACAACTACTCTATGCACGTAGACAATAACATATATATAGAAAAGTATGCAAACAATTTGGCCAAGAATGTATTAGACCAGGAATGAATATACTAACCTGACAATGTGATCTTATAACATTATTTAGATATAACGATTGGTTTTATTATGTTGTCTTTTCCTCGTGGTTAATCCAGTTTAGTAACGTAATCATTTTCCCTACAATTCAAGAGTTTAAGTTTCGTAATTTCAGCTTTCAAGTATCCTTATAATGTTTCCAACGTCTTCTAACATTTACAAAAGTATACAGCAAATAACTGAACCTTTTTGAACTATATGCGAACGTTTTTACTTTCATTAAATTGCCAACATCGGTTGGGTTTTATCAGATATACTTCTTTTGTCATTTTATCGTATATCTAAATTGTGTAAAAAATATTATAGATGTGCAAAACAAACATTAACTGTAAATATAATTCGGCATTGAAGTGTAACTGCTCATCGTTATCAGAAATGTCCGCATATCAGACATACCGCTGTGCCACTGGGGGGCTATCAGAAATGAACAGGTTCCTCAGTGGCACAGCAGTATGTGCGGACTTACAACGCTACAAACCGGGTTTCGATACCTGTGGTGGGCAGAGCACAGATATCCTATTGTGCAGCTTTGAGCTTAATTACAAACAAAAAAGAAATGAACAATGTTCTTGGTAATATCCAAGGGATATTCATATCTAAGTTAGAATATCAAATAAAATTGGTACACAATGTGTTTGCTCTCGTATATTTTTTTCTGTACAGTTCTTTATATACGCTACAGATTTTTTAGACAAAAACATCATTTGTCTTGTATTTCTTTCTACTACTACAAAAGTTTCCATTGTGTGTCTCAGTTTACAATCAATAGTTCCAGATAAAGGGGATTAGTTTATATGATTTTTTTTAACTTCAAAACCTATGTGATATATGCTTTGTTTCTTCGTTTGCTATTATTGTAATAATGGAATTTAAATTTCTGTAAAGGTGTGTTAAAAATACTTTAAATGAATTAGTGTAAATAAATGAGATTTTATTAGTTTCACTAAAACATAGAAGCGAAGTGACACAAAGAAATATGATGATCTATAACAAAACTCTTATTGTTGGCTTATCTTGAACATTTTGGGAAAATGTATAAAATAATTATCACTTTCAAACTGTATACAAAGGCTTTATGTTTTATTAACATTTTTATAGGTTTTAGATATACACTAGTTTTAGCAGTGCTCTAATGTGAAACTTTACTTTGCATTTTGTATATGTAAAGAAAAAGTAAATTTTGTACTTTTAACATTAAGTCTAACATTCAGGTATACCATATAGCCACAGTAACAAAATAACAAACTCTAATGTAATTAAATTAAAAAGTTTAAGTTATTAAGATGTTCTTTCAACCGTATATTTGTACTTCATTGTAACTTAGGATATTTTTAGTCTACATGTACGTGCAATTCTAGTTAGTAGATGGTAAAATAGCAAACATGGGTAGATTGAGTTATTTTTAATTATAACTCAATTAAGTTCAACATACTTGAACATACCAATTACATCTAGTGTTCGAACGATATGTTTTCTCCTACATATTTCCGCATATAATACCCACAGATTTTTGATATATGATTATCTAGACATTTGATATGAGTAAAGTTTAAGGTTAACAGTGAAGCAATAACTGATAAAAAGAGATAGTTTGTTTCTGACGTCGAATGTATCAGTATCCATGTTTCACTAAACAACGAACGAAGATGTAACTGTACAACTATAACAGAATATACTAAGTAGATTTTTTTCATTTGTCGTCTCTCGCAAAAGAATCCCAGGAAAATGACAAGTGTCGTCAACTCGAAAATGTCACGCTTCAGTTTTCATCTCATATTTTTAACATTGCATTATGTGCTTCAAAACTTGAACGTAAAATAATCCACTAATAAAAAAACTCTTGATTTCATTGAGGAGCCGAATTTTCTATTCAGCGCGTGCTTAAATGTTATATTAGGTCGTATGATAATATTTTTTCTAATAAAAAACAGCTTAAATGATACTTCTAAAAAAAGAAAAATCTAATCTCAGTGCATAAAATATTATATTATAAAAAACAATTTGGGAACATGAATGATATCACAATACGACATGTAATTTATGTTGTTATCCAACCGGCGTAATGGGTTCTGATTTTGAGCGAAGGGTCTCGTGAAAATCGTCATACCACATTTAAAGAGTAGTAAAAACTTTAATGTATGCTCTTCTCACTAGAAAAAACATATTGTGCCAGAGAAGAAGGATGTAATTAAAATAATTATTGCTCTCATTCCGATGTATTTTAAAACTTATTACGATTAACAATGTTGATTGATTACGTGTCACACAGGCATGATAACAATTTATGGCTAATAAAAAAAAAAACGCATATGCATATCGAATCATATTATTACGTAATATGAAAAGATAAAATACTAACTGTGTTTTTCTCAAATAAAACATTTTGAAATAATATTTTCCATAAGTAAATAATAATATGCAATGAATATGGCAAATAATAAAGAAATGAGTAAGGTACATCTCAGCAGAGTGCGAATTCTGCGCCGATTATTTGACGATCTATAAAAAGTAGTTACTTCTGTGTAAACCTCAAAGATTGACGCTTCTTACCTTTCCTTTCCTTAACGAAATCAATGAACTATAGTGAGTTGGATGTCGTAGGGTAGGTACAAATTAGAAATAAAGAAAATATAAAGTTTAATTAATTATACATTTGTTTTAATATATTACTAAGAACATGCATATTTGTCACTGTATTGCTCAGTGTCTGTTTTCTCTATTTCGACAGTGGTTTAATTATTTACATTATTATCAATACTTTAAGGAAGTAGTCTGAATAAGTTTGATTTGCCATTCTCACATTGACAGTGAAGACATGAGTCTTTAAATGTTTATTCCACACTCTATCTCACAAAACACACTTGTAAGTTTTTCGTAAAATTCAAAACGTACACCAAAAGATTTTCATGTCACTTATTCCTTATTTCAAATTAGAGTACAGGCTTTATTTGCTTACAATGGTCACTCAAGTATTTTCTGTCTTTACACAGCATGATTCAGTTTATGACTGGA